GAGTTTAAGATTGTTTTCTGCCAGAAATAGCCATCAGGAGCCCTCCTGCCCTCCCTTAGCCCCAACAAGTTACAGTGTTGCCCTAGTGAATTAGGAATTGAACTTCCTCAGAGACGGGGTCTTCTGCAACTCCAGGACTGGAGTGACAGGGAAGATCCACACACCCTGTGAGCACCATTGTGTCCCATGAGTGCTGCACTGGGCTCCACAGCATACATCAGGGATCCTGGGTGACAGTACCTGGTATCTTGTCCCCACAGAGGCAGGGATTGGAAAATCAGTTTCTCTGGCTGAGGGTCAGAGGCTCACCACATTTCTGCTGCTCACTGTGGTGATGGCTGTTCACCTGGATGGACAGTTAATGCTGGACAGAAAGATGGCCACAGTGCTTGGGACATGATGGTGGCAACTGACATTTCTGGTGCCTTTCATGTAGACCGTTCCTCTTAATTTCTTATTTTTATGTGAATTTAATCACATATATAAATGAATTATTTTCCATTCCTTCATCCTTTTCCTACATAACTTATGCTATAGAACATCACATAAGAAGACCATGTTGACCTGCTGGCTCATGTGGATTTCCTCTTAGCTTCTGAGTCTTCTCAGGAAACTGTGCAGTTCTGTGATGAGGGGACCAGCTCTACCTGCAGGTCACTAGTGTGATGACAGAAGTGTTCAAGCAGACACACAGTTCAGTGTCATCATTGATTTAACTTTGTCTTTGCAGGTTTCAGTTTATCTTGTTAATTGTGGGATTTCTTAAATCTTCCACACAGATCCCCCAAAGGCACATGTGACCCATCATCCTGGACCTAAAGGTGACGTCACCCTGAGGTGCTGGGCCCTGGGCTTCTATCCTGCCTTCATCACCATGACCTGGCAGAGGGAGGAGGAGGAACAGACTCAGGACATGGAGCTGGTGGAGACCAGACCTTCTGGGGATGGAACCTTCCAGAAGTGGGCATCTCTGGTGGTGCCTTCTGGGGAAGAGCACAAATACACATGCCATGTGCACCATGAGGGGCTGCCTGAGCCCCTGACCCTGAGATGGGGTAAGGAGGGAGTGGGTGCAGAGCTGGGGTCAGGGAAAGCTGGAGCCTTCTGCGGACCCTGAGCAGGGTTAGGGCTGAGAGCTGGGGTCATGACCCTCACCTTCCCTTCCTGTCCATCCCTTCACAGAGCCTCCTCAGTCCACAGTCCCCATCATGGCAGTGATTGCTGGTCTGGTTCTCCTTGGAGCTGTGGTCATTGGAGCTGTGGTGGCTGTTGTGAGGAAGAGGAGGAGAAACACAGGTAGGAAAGGGCAGGGTCTGAGTTCTCTTCAGCCCCTTTTAGAAGAATCTCTGCCTCATTAATGGGAAACACATCCACACCCCTCATTGCTGCTGTCTCTACCCTGGGTCTGCTGTCGGTTCTGGAAACTTTCAAGGGTCGGGGACTTCCCTGGTCTCTCACAGCTTTTCTTCTCACAGGTGGAAAAGGAGGGGACTATGCTCCAGCTCCAGGTAAGAGTGGTGGGCAGGATTGTCCCTGAGGCCTTTGGGTTGAAACTGAATTATTTGGGGAGTTCTGACAATCAATAATAGCTCCTGC